TAGAAATTGCGGAATTTGTTTAGAAAACTCAAGAACATAACATAAATAATCCGTTTGACAATTGGTTTATATTACTAAAATATTTAAGTGCTTATATTATGAACAGATTTTATTCGGAAATTTTATCTATCAACGATCTGCATGGTGAATATTAATGATAGGTGAAATAGATAAATATGCCACATTCATTATAAATGTTAGAATATGTCATATTCATATATAAATAACAGCTTCTTTACTTTGATGAAATTTAAACAAAATTCCATAAAATAATATTTTACAAGCATTTGTGAAATAAAAAGGTTGTACATCACCTGTAGCCTGTAGATCGACATCAACGGACGGTGAATTTGTAATGGCCGAAGTAAAGTTACGTTCACGTTCAGAACTAAATGTGCTTGCTATTTGTCATTTGCACGGTGCCCTCGACACCGAGGTGCGTTATACAAAGTAAGCTTAAAATATTGATGTTTAAACTCTAGTATGTATACTGCCATAGGTGTGATATGGACTTTACACATGACCTTTGATTTGTCTGTGTTCACCTTAATACATTACCGTGTAGTGGCTGTGTAAGAATATCTATTACACCATATCATGATGTGGGTGTCGTAAAGGGCGACTGAGGGGAACAAACCAAGAGACGGGTAACAGCGTCTCTCTAATAACGATTAAAATTAAAATAAAAGTATGGTTGCAAACCCACTTTTCCATCGTGGCAACTATGGCAAATGCACCCTGTGAGGCAATCTGTGGACTTTAATAGGCTGTAGGGGAGACTGGGGAGACTTGTTCCCTTGGGAGACTTGATCACCCAGTGACAAATAAAAAACTAAGCGCTTTTTCTAGTTTTTACATTGGAAACATAAGTCTTCGTTGTCTACGGTGAACCAAAAACGTCATTTTGAAATCTTTATATAGACAACTTAAGAGCGGTGCAGCCATTTTTATTTTCCCGTGTCAGCATTTGTTTCGGTAAGATTTTCATTTGTTTTTTTTTAAATAACTGAATGAATAATTTACCGAGTATGTGTCAAAATCAATGAAAGTAGTTTATTAAAGTTTTCATTTATATATATTTTATTCAATTAACGTTTTCTCTTGACACGAAAAAATAATATTTTTTAAAAGATCACTCCCGGGTACACTTGATCACGGCAAGACGGGGTACACTTGGTCCCGGGATCAAGTGTCCCATACATTTAATTTGTCAGTTTTCTTTTTTTCGTTTGTTTTAGATTAATAATAAAATGCGAAGAACATATAAAAGAAAAAAAGGGTGCAAAACCACGTATACGTGTTGACCCACAAATTCTTAAAGAAGCTGTGAACAAGGTATTGGAGGGAAATGCGATCGAAGGTACTGCCAAAGAGTATAACGTCCCAATAATGACACTGAAAAAGTATGCAAGAAAACAAATGGACCAGAAAAATGAGATTACATACGAGCCTAATTATAGACAGTCCCAAGTCTTCACTAAAGAAGAGGAGTTGCATTTAGCTATGTACCTAGAAAAAGCTAGCAAACTCCATCATGGGCTATCTTCTCTGTGTTTTCGGCAGCTAGCATATCAGTTAGCTATTCAAAACCAAAAGCCAGATTAGAAAATATGTAAATGGACAAATAATATTGCGTCGTACGATTGGTTCCATAGCTTTATGAAGAGAAATACACAATTATCACTACGTGTACCTGAAACGACCAGCCTGAGTAGATCGACCAGCTTCAATAAACATAACATTGGCTATTTCTTGGAAACATTCCTCCATTCATGATCTTTCGACGCAAGAACTGGCAAGATCGTATGTAACGTACGTAACGGTGCACCTGCAGGTGCGACAAATGCCAGCATATTTCCTTCAGGCTGGATGACTGCTGAGAATTTTATAAAGTTTTTACAACATTTTAAAAAATACACCAAATGTTCAGTAGAGTATCCGATGTTGATTATAACGGATAATCATGACAGTCATATTAGCATAGAATCTTTTGACAGATTTATTGAGACATATAAAGCTAATTATATCCATAATTTTGTTATAATAAATGATACTTTTATAACGAAACCGGGTTTTCATTAATTTAAAGTTTGCATCAGGGAGACTTGATCCCCTTTGATCAAATCTACCCGTTACTGGGATCGAGTCTCCCAGAATATGGGACACTTGTTCCTTTTTGAAAGTTTTGGGAAATAGCAAAAAAATAAATGAAGCACTCATCAATATAAAAATCAAATAATGGGGAACAATAATAAACAATATTGACTACCTATATACGTATGTATTATTTTTATAAAACTAAATTTGAAAAAAATATAAGCAAGAAACCAAAATGGTGATCAAGTGTCCCCAGTTTCCCCTAAGGGTAACGGTACCGGTGACCTCAAAACCTGTCTGTTAGAATACAATATAAAAGTTATCGGAGAAAGGTGTAAGATCCTAAACTTGAAAGTGTTATAATGTTACGAATAAGTTTTTTTTTGTGGTAGATGTGTCCAATCACCACAAAAATAAAAAATAAACTATCTATCTATGGTTGAATTTTTTTGTTCAACAATAGAGTCGGGATGGGCTGTAATGATGATGATACTATTCGCAAATTCATTTTTATTGATAAATTGGACGTAATGCTTAGATATCATAGTACATAATATATTAACAAATGTATGAAAAGAAAACCATTGGCCAATAAAGCATTATCATAACATAAACTATTTAATCTATCATCTATCGGATTTGGCATATTTTTACGTAAAATCCCCAGACTGGGGACGAGAAGCAGCTCCAGAGCTGGGAGACATCTGGTGCTGCGATCACCAACCCATGTTAAAGCGTGACGATTAAAGGAAATCTAAATAAACGTAAGAGGCCCATTTCCAGCAGAGGACTAGCAGGCTATTGATTATGATGATGCATAATCAGTTATTTTGTGTGATCATTGTTGAAATATATGTGAATGTATGTGGAACACACTACTTAAGTCATTATAATTCAACTGTTACAACAAAAACTTTCAGAACGCATCCTCTCCTTGTACCTGTTCAATATTTAGTTCGACCCTAAATTTATGCGCATTGTTTGACCTGTTTGCATACGCATCGCAACGTCCATAGCAGTGCAGCTTGCAGAGAAACGATTGGTAATTCTGAAAATGGTAACGTATAACGTGTCTCTTACTTAATGGCGATCGTCTATTCGTCAGGTAAACACGATGTTTACAGTAATTCCTCTATTCTGTTGAAGCTGCCTGTGTTAACTTTTGTATTAATTATTCTTTGTTGTTCCGTTGTAAAATAAACAAAGGAGGATGGCCAAATCGTACCAGACAACGAAATGGTAGCGTCCCAATATGAAATATTTATGTAAAATACCCTTATTTTTTAAGGTCTTAAAACACACTAGAAATACCTCT